CACGCACATTGCCCACCACTTTAACCTCAACAGTGGGATTGCGTCCGTATTCAATCAACTTTAAAAGCAATTCTCTATGTTTCGTTGATTCATCAATGTATTTCCACTGTTCTAGATAAAAATATTATATTCAAGAGTAAAGAAACAAAATAAATATATCAAAATAGCTTAAACTTCCCCAAATAGGAAAGGATACTGATACCGTACACTTTTCACAAAACGTATTAACAATTATTAGACATATCATAAATTTTTTAACTGGTAACATTCAAGGTTAGCTTATACCAAACAATTAATCACAAAAACTCTCTAACTTGTGACATCATATTGCATTCAAAATGAGTCGCTGCAATGTTTCAAATACCCTTTATTTTCCTAACAACTTTAGGTTGATAATGGTACGCAGTATTTTATATCATTAACACATCACAAAGAAGGAAGCTCCGCCATGTTAAAATAATGTATCAGCAAATTTATGTAATACATCTTGTTCTCATTATTCAATGTGACACCAGATAAATCGGACATAATAAAAACTTCATTATCTCGAGAATGAAAAGTGATATGCATAAACTTGTACAGAAAGTCCATTATCATATTAAAATGTCTGTTCAATAAAAGTATAACACAGGTTGCTACATTTTCGTTTTATAGGCATTTTATGCTTTAACTCTAAATTATCTGACACGTACTGTTTCTCTTATTCATTGGCAAAGTGAACCTCGTTATCAACATTTCTGCAAATTCAAACTCCACCTCATTGTTAGTATTAAAATAGACACTTTGTCGTGGTGACAAATCTGAAAATTGTTTTGAAGATCGCAAATACCATTGTGAATTACTTTTACGATTCCCCAATGGTATTTGCGCTTTTCAAAACGATTGTTAGTATTGTTTTCCCTTTGCCGAATTGAAAATGGTTATTTGCAGTTTTCAATTATTTTATTAAGCATATGATGATTTATTTGCAAATATCTGTATGCGATATTTCAGCAACAGCGTTATTAAACAGCCCCTCCCCCACCCCACTAGAAATTATAGTTTCGGTCGTCTATACAATGGTCCGTGCTACAATATCTGAGAAAACATGACACAGCCATTGCGTTCTGTAAGCGATATTTCATCAGCAGCGTTATGCTTGCTCAATCGGGAGGCTTAAGTCGTAAGTGGCTTGGTCTGGTTCACGTGCACTTTTTAATGGAAGTCATCAAGTAAGTTAACAATCATCAATTAAGACACAATTTGAATTATAAATGAAATCTTTGGACTCATTTGCTCTTCTAATAAAGTCGGAATAGTTATATTTATTTATTTTGAGATCAGTGGGAGTAATTTATTGAAATCAATGAACAAAGTCGTTGTTTTTTAGTTTTGCGAGTAGTAACGTTTTTTCCTTATATATTTTGGGAAATTTTCTAGTAGAAAAAACTGATACAGCAACTTTTATGCTTTATGTAACTTTAAAAATGCAATTCTAAGTAAGAAGTATTCAAAATTCAATTCTAAACTAGAAAATGATCTTTGTGGGCTTTTGAATGATGTTCACACTGAAGAGGTAATCTTCAGTATACTGAGCAAAGAGAGAGCTCAAAAAAACTTGTAATTTTCTGTAAATTTAGAATTTAGAAGATCGTTTAATAAATGTGCAATTTACTGCTACATTATTCATAATGAAAATTGTAAATAGCCTTTTTATTATGGAACTTTGAGAATTCACATCGTCAAATTTGCTCATTTTCATTATGATTTTGAGGTATTTTTTGTTACAATGAACAAGAATTCTTATTTATTGAAGTATATCGAGCAAGTCCATTTGATGGTGGCCGTTCTTTGCCTGATTTTCAATGTTATTAGCTAGGTAATGTATGCATGGTGGTGCAAACATGAAGTATGACAGTATATCCAAAAGATAGTTTGTTGAGAAGTTTTTATGATTAAACAAGCAAAATAGGAATTAAGGTTACTTTAAAAAAATAGATTGCATGATGTCATTATCACCTCATGTCTCATCTTGATTTCAAATGACTGATAATGTGCTTGAAGCACAAATTGTGAAGTGACAAGATTTTACTGTCATGGTTAAAACAGATTAAACCAGCTGCAAATGTTACCATTCAGTGTTGCTTAGACATGTGATGAAAAAATTCATCTATCTTATAACATTTGTTAATGTAAAAGATTGATTGAAGACTGTATTTGTAATCAAACACGTAATCCTTTTTCTTGGATGGAACTTATGAAATGTAGTCAATTTGAGCACAAATTAGCACAAGTGTTACAAAAAATAGTACACGATAAAAGCACAGAACAAGTCTTAGTCCATCGTTGGCCAACACAAAGTTGGTGGCCAGCTTTAATGCAGATGCTAATAGCATATCCTGTTGTCATACCTAGAGGAAGAATGACCTTAACTCTTCCAGCTCATCTGGATCAAATCCACTCTCTCAGTACAAAACTGGAGCTACTACTTTGCCATTTATCGGGGAACTCCTCTCTGATAGAGGCATTTGACCAGAGGCTTCTCAAATCATCCAGAAAACTTGGCGGACCGGTAAAAAGAAGCAATATTCTAAATACCTTAACCGTTGGCGACAATATTGCAATGCAAACAATATCGATCCTGTCGCGCCCTCTGTAGGAGAGGGCATTAATTTTCTTACAAAATCATACCAGGAATATTTATCCTACAGCAGTATTAATACTGTAAGGAGCGCCTTATCTACTATCCTAATGCTACCAAGTGGCATCTCGTTTGGTACACATCCACTCGTTGCTAGGTTTGTTAAAGGTGTATTTGTTGCAAGACCAGCTCTTCCTAGATATGCCATAGTCTGGGACGTTTCAGTGGTATTCGAAGATGACGTACACATAATAAGCAATATTTCAGCAGCAGCGTTATTAAACACCTCGACATATTTCACGGTCGTGGTGGAGGCGATTTTTCTGGTTCTCGTTTCTTGTGAAGTTTTGGTAAGCCATAGAAGCGTGAGAGTTGAGAACCTCAGCACACTAATCGACAGAGCATACAAACTTAACAATACGAACAATGGCTTTCAACGAGACATAAAAAACATCACATCCACTCTTTTACGAAACTCTTTCCCACTTCACTTTATTAACAGAGCCGTAAAACGATATCTCGACAACAAACATAGCAACAACCTCAACCTAGACACAGAAACTCCTGACACGACGATTACAACCAACACAAATGAAAATTCCAAAATAACAACTCTATACTTCAAACTACCATACATCGGACAATACTCACGACACACACAACCCAGACATACAAACATTATGAAACGCTTCTGTACAGATATTGACATTCGACTAATTTCCACATCATTAAAAATCAAAAACCTTTTCTCACTTAAAGACCCAATCCCTGATTCAATTAAATCTATGGTGGTATATGAATTCAATTGCGCGGGATGTAATTCCCGATACATTGGCGAAACTTCGCGCCATTTATCCACCAGAATCAGGGAACATACCACAACAGACAAAAACTCTCATATCTACCGACACCTTAAATCTCACTCATGCAAAACCAACTATTCACCCTCTTGTTTCAAAATCAGCGACACTGCCGACACCTCATTCACCCTTAACACACTCCACATTAACAAAACTAACCCTGACCTCAATGTTCAAGTTTTTAAATTCAATACAATATTTAGTTTATAATACGCTCGGACGCTCCTCATTAATTTATCTTATTTCCTTTTTATTGTTGTAATTTATGTATCATATTACATTTATATAAACACTGTATCACCTATTATTTCACTCATACTGAAGATGGCATCATGAGATGTCGAAACATGTCTATTTTCAAAAAAGTTGTCGTTTATATTAAATTTGTATTGGCAATAGTGCTTTTACGAAATTATGGAAACATTATTTACGACATAGCACAAAAATACGAAGGAAAGGTTTCCTTATCAGAATTGCGGAAGTTTTAAAGGCGAAGTTTGAAAGCGGAAGTCGGATTGCGTAGAGAGTCTCATAAAGAGACGTTCACCGCTTTCGCTTTATGCAAAGCTCACCTTTATAGGTTTGAGCGCTCTGGTGACTCTACAATACAATCCATACAATGTGTAACCGTACGTCCTGTGTCCCAAGTGCAGAAGTCACCATTTTACTATGGTGATAGCCGGGAGGGCACATTGTTATACACTTTGTATATTACGCTCGCTGCGCTTGCGCAGTTTTTCATTAAATCCATTGTTTCATTTTCATTAAATCCAGAATTTCATTAAATCCCCTGAAGAGTGAGCAATTACGAAACAGGCTTGTCGGGATGAATCTGTAGTTTTGTGATTTTTCTCAACACCACTACACATATATATATATATAAGTTTGAAAAGCGTTTATCTTTATCTTTTGGAGAAGCGTTTATCTTTTATGTATATGTATATATATATATATATATATATAAAATGAACTAAAATAAAATGGACAAATGTTTGCTGTCGCTACTCGGAGTTTCACGCCGTAGGGCGATCTTCAGGCAACTGACAGATTATATATTATTTGAGACAGAACTTTCTAAATACATGTGGACACTGAAAGAAAACAAACGTAACTACAACATTAAATGGGACTTCATCAAACAACTTCCACCTCCGAACAAAAACCAAAGAACCTGCCGTCTTTGCCTTGAAGAAAGGCTACTTATCCTGAAAGGACGTAAAAAGAACATTTTAAATAAACGTTCCGATATGTTTAGTGCATGCCGTCATGTAACTTAACACCTTTTAGTCGATGTATATAGTCAGCAAATAATATATAATCTGTCAGTTGCCTGAAGATCGCCCTACGGCGTGAAACTCCAAGTAGCGACAGCAAACAATTGTCCATTTTATTTTAGCTCATTTTATCTTACGCTCTTCTAATATATAGAATATTGAGCGCTCTTTTATCCAGGAATATTATCCATAATAATATATATATATATATATATATATATAATGGAATAGAATTAAAAGGCATACCTTGTTTTGTATCTTCAACACCTGGAGGATTTACGACATCTTCGGCATTAGTATTATCACCATTTGTGATTTCTACGAACAATATTTTAAAAAGTGTTATCCACACAAGCTGTGTATTTCTACTTAGACAAGGAGTAAAAAATGAATTGTAACTAGCGCTAGAAAAGAAATTACTCTAATAGATTGAAAAGTTTCGGATGGTAGCTTTTTAGTTTTATTTTTCATTTAGTTTTGCCCAATAGCAGTAAAACAATCCAAAATATCATATACATATATAACGCACTGATTTATATGACTGAAATTTTCAAGTCTTGTATATAAGTAACTTGGTATGGTAATGTTGAGGGGCAGTTTATTAATTGATGCCTTCTTTGTGAGAGCCCGAAAAAAAGCTTCGTTTCAGGTCAAATAATCTTACATAATTTGATATATTGTCTGTATGGTTGCTTTAAGCTACGTACAAATGCATTTAACATGTTCACTTAACATGCGCTCAACATTGTATTGAGAGATGCTCAGCGATATGTGTAAACGCTCTCAACATGTCGAGCCTATGAAATAAAATATTCCACAATGCATAGATATAATGCCATTTTTACAATAACATACGCTGCTCAGTACACATGCCTTACCTCAACATTGTTAAGTGAAGCAATGATTAGGCTTGCATCGGTGCGTGCTGAACAGAGAAAATGTTGAGTGCTGTTGTGTCAAAAGTTTAAACAAGTTCTAACTTCTCTTCAAAACGCTCAACACCTCTCAAAACCACTGAACAGGGTGTGTAAAAGCTCTCAACATGTTGAGTCAACAAAGCTGAGCGAATGTTGGGTTTTGAGTGTGTTTAAACGTAGCTTAAAGTACGTACAGGTACAAATGCTTTCTGCATAATATGTGTTTAATGGTTCCAATTAAGGCGTTATTTAGAACTACTTTCTTCATGAAATGATTTGAACTTTTAGCAAATCAATCCTTCTTTTCCCATGTTGGTTGAAGAACGTTGAATTTTCATTATTGCATCACATTATTGACAATTCTGGTGTTTTTAATTAAATTAATCAATTCAGACATAGATAAATGTTAGCAAATAGTTCTCGCCAATCTCTTTGATACTCTAAACCTTTCGCTCTCCCCAACAGCGAAAACTCAACAATTATTCTCTCAAACCTTGTTTGAACATCATTAAAGTGCCAATGAAACGAAAACTTTGCTAGTTACATAATATTTACATTGACCAGAACTTTTGAAATGAATGCATTCTAAAACCTTTTATGTATGACTCTTTCATTCTAAAAATACTGAAGTGAAGTTCTTGCTATTAACAATTTATCTAACTTGTGACATCATATTGCATGAAAAATGAGTCGCTGCCATGTTTTAAATAAACTTTATTTTCCTGACAACTTTACGTTGATATTAGTAGGCAGTATTTTATATCATTAACACATCACAAAGAAAGAAACTAGGCAAAGTTGAACTAAATTATTAGCAAATGTACCGAATAATTCTTGTTCTCACTATGCAATGTGACGTCACAAGTTAGATGAATCGAACATAATAAAAGTTTCAATATCTTGAGAACGAAAAGAGATACGAATAAACTAGTAGAGAAATTCCGTTGTCATATTAAGTTTCATTCAATAAAAGAATAACACAGTCTGCAAAATTTTCGTTTAATAGACATTTTAAGCTTTAACTCTAAATTATCTGACACGTACAGTTTCTCTTATTCACCTTGGTAAAGTGAACCTCGTTATCTTTATGTCTGCAAACTCAATCCCTATTTCCTGTTTTTCTTATTCTCGTGCAACAATGCTGGTATTGTTTACCTTTGCCAAATTAAAGATAGTTTTTGCATTTTTCATTTATTTTATTAAGCTTATGATGATTTATTTACAAGGAACAATTTGTCTGTCATGTGTCAATTGTGTCAGGGTTTTCGTTATCGAGAAAATTTCCTTATTGTTGAAATTTTTACTCAGGTAGAAAAGGAGTCATAAAAATCAATAAATTTTAAACACCACAAAAAAAGAAAGCTATTTAAATTCTTTATATTTCAGTCCTTTTCGTAAATTCCTATATGTTTTAGAAACATGTGAAAAAATCATGATGTCGTAGTGCTAAAGTATAATATAATTGACAAGATAAGCAACACAAACGATGCAAGCAAATATTCAAACTTCCGGCTTCAAATGTTGTAACATCATTTTTGTATTTTATGTGTGATTCAGAACATTTCAATTGTCTTTGGTTAACACAATCACGTTTTACTAGTTTGAAAAAATTTCTCGTACAATACAACGCTCCTTTGGAGATCTCTTATAAATAAAACTAAAAAAGAGCAAGTGAGCAAATTATTTCCATGCTTTCACAAAAAAATTTTCAAATCAATGCTATATCTATCCATCTGCCTGTCTATTGGTCTATTTCTTTAACTATTTTTGTATTATGTTTAATGTAGACTACACGTTGGCTTTAACAAGATATCAATTGACCAAATTTGAATATATGAATACCCCCCTCTCCCACCAATTAAATGTTCTAGTTTAGGTCCTCTAGTACAGTAGTCTGTGCTACAATACTTGAGAAAACGTGATAAAGTCGTTATGTTCTGTAGTTCTGTAAGCGATATTTCATCAGCAGTGTTATTAAACACCCCCTCCTCCACTCTACTAAAAGTTATAGTTTTGGCCCTCTATTAAATGGTCAGTACTACAATATCTGCGATATTTCAGCAGCAGCGTTATTAAACACCCCCTCCTCCACCTATAAGTGATATTGAGTTCTGTAAGTGATATTTCATCAGCAGCGTTATTAACACCTCTTCTCCTTCCCCCCTCACTAAACGTTAGAGTTTCGGTCCTCTATACAATGGTCCTTGCTACAATATCTAAGAAAACATGATACAGCCGTTGAGTTCTGTAAGCGATATTTCATCAGCAGCGTTATTAAACACCACTTCTCTCTCTCCCCTCACTAAACGTTAGAGTTTCGTTCCTCTATACAGTGGTCCTTGATACAATATCTAAGAAAACATGATACAGCCGTTGATTTCTTTAAGCGATATTTCATCAGCAGCGTTATTAAACACCCTTCTCCCCTAAACGTTAGAGTTTCGGCCCTCTATACAGTGGTCTGTGCTACAATATCTTAGAAAACATGATATAGCCATTGAGTTCCGCAAGCGATATTTCATTAGCAACAATATTAAACACTCCCTCCTCCCCAAACCCAATAAAAGTTATAGTTTCGGTTCTCTATACAGTGATCCGTGATACAATATCTGAGAAAACATGATACAGCCATTAAGTTCTGTATGCGATATTTCAGCAGCAGCGTTATTAAACACCCCCTCCCCCACCTCACTAGTAGTTACAATTTGGGCCCTCTATACAGTGGTCCGTGATACAATATCTTAGAAAACATAATACAGCCATTGAGTTCCGCAAGCGATATTTCATTAGCAACGTTATTAAACACTCCCTCCTCCCCAAACCCAATAAAAGCTATAGTTTCGGTTCTCTATACAGTGGTCCGTGATACAAGATCTGAGAAAACATAATACAGCCATTGAGTTCTGTAAGCGATATTTCATCAGCAGCGTTATTAAACACCTCCTCCCCAAACCCAATAATAGTTTTAGTTTCTGTCCTCTATACAGTGGTCCGTGCTACAATATCTGAGGACATTATACAGCCATTGAGTTCTGTAAGCAATATTTCAGCAGAAGCGTTATTCTTGCTCAATCGGGTGGCTTAAGTCGTACGTGACTTGGTCAGATTCACTTGCACTTTTTAATGGAGGTCATCAAGCCATTTGACAATCATCAATTAAGACACAATTTGAATCATAAATGAGATTTTTCGACTCACTTGCTCTTCTAATAAAGTCGAAATAATTATATTTATTTATTTTGAGATCAGTGGGAGTAGTTTATTGAATTCAATGAATAAAGTCGTTGTTTTTATGTTTTGCGATTAGTAACGTTATTTGCTTATCTATTTTGGAAAATTTTCTAGTAGAAAAAATTTATACAGAAACTTTTATGCTCTATGCAACTTTCAAAATGTAATTCTAAGTAAAAAGTATTCAAAATTTAATTCTAAACTAGAAAATGATCTGTGTGGACTTTTGAATGATTACACTGAAGAGGTAATCTTCAGTGTACATAGCAAGGAGAGAGCTCAAAAAACTTGTACTTTTCTGTAATTTAAGAATTTAAAAAATCGTTTAATAAATGTGCAATTTAATGCTACATTTGTCATAATGAAAATTTTATATAGCCTTCTTTTTACTGTGGAACTTTGAGAATTCACATCGTAAATTGGCTCATTTTTACAATCCTGAAAATTTTTACAGTATATATTTATGGTAGTAATGAATATTTTTCTCATAATATATTTTTCTCTTTGATATCAAGTAAATAAAGACTGATGAGCAAAGAAATGATGTCAATATTAGGTAAAAATATTATGTAATCAAATTGCTATTGTACAACGATCACATAATTTAAGTGTAATAAAAATGAGAAAATTCAAGCTAGTATGCTTACCTTTAAGTTCTGGATTTTCTTTCCATTCTTCATTTGACCTGACAGCTGCATGTAACCGAACAAGGAGATTCGGAAATGTTCGGATAAAATACGCCTTGTAATCGCCAATCTTATAAAATGGTTCTGGTTGTGGTAGAGGTCGTGGTAGATCGTTCCAATGCTGATCAATATTTCCAATGAATCTTAAACATTCTGCCCATGAAGATTTATACTCTCTTCCATTTACCAAATATTCATAAACATCGTTATCCATTTGACTTTTCCAATTTGAAGATTCAATACTAAATTGTTGGACGAAACTAGATTGGGGATCATTTGTTTTAATCGAATGTAAGTCACCATTTTTACATAAAAAGTGAAATTTCTCGTCATCCGACATAAGAAATGGATGTTTCAAGGCTTCGTTGGCAGATGGTCTTTCTTCTGGTTGTAGTTTTAACATCCACGACAGAAGGTCTTTAAATGTTTCATCCTTGATTCCATCCAAGCCAACAGGTTCCCCATTCAACATGTTGATCAGTCGGTGGGGCTTAGTTCCAAAAGGATGTTCCCCTTTTGTTGCAACATAATAAGCCACCATTCCTGCATTCTAAGATAATAAAAAATGTAACGTTAACAGCAAAATTAAGCTCTCACAAAATTAAATTTCGCTATGAGTTTTGTAAATGTTAACATCCTTACACTTACATATACATCAGACTCTTTTTTATAACGTGCTTCATGTAAATCTTCAATACGTGCTATATTTGAATCTTCGTTATGTATTGATTCAGGAGCAATCCAAAATTCAGTTCCCCTGTTAAACATGCTTTTGTGTGTTTTAGATCCATTCTTCAATATTCGACTAATGCCAAAGCCAGCTATCAGAAATTTGCCGTCTACGTCACGGAGAACATTGGAAGGCTTTAATTTCCGATGAAGAATAGGATCTGGGCCACTATGAAGATCAGCTAATCCATTTAAAATTTGTCTAAGAATATCGGGAAGAGCTGTTTGAAGATCATGTACAGTAGAATTTTTCACAAACTTCTCCAGTGATTCCTCACATAAGTCTAAGATCAAATAATCATATTCTGTTCCAGTATCTTCCTCAAAGAAGTAATAATTCACAACATATTTCGAACTTTTTGCATTGAATTTATTTAAAATTTCCTTTTCATGCTGTGCAGGCTGGAGGCAGTTATCTTTACGAATTCGTTTCACTGCTTTACCGTAACCATCCTGTGTCAGTCCAAGATAAACACGGGTTTCATCACTTCCTTTGCCGAGCTCAAACTTCTCCGAGAAAATTACACGTACATTGCCCAAATGTTTAATGTCTGGACTGGGATAACACAAGTCAGACAACAGACTTCTATGCTGAACTGAACGACCAAGATATTCCCACTCTTGCAACTGCCATTCTTCAAATGACATAAAAGTATTACATTTAGAGGTGAGTGCAACAAAAGTAATCAAATTCATAAGAATAGGTAATTCAAATTTACTCAATTACACTTATAATTTGGATAACGACTTTAAATTTTTGTAATATCTTAGAACCAACCATTAAAGTTGTCAAAAACTAATCAATCATGCAAACATATATCTGTTAAGATTAAAGGCAAGCGACACAGAAAAATGCTGTTTTTAATTTAATGTAGCACTTTCGCTTAAACAACGCAATGCTTACAAAATGATTTTTAGTGTAGAAGAATTAAACTTTTTTGAAGCATGTAGCTATTTCTTATGCTCAAGTTTATATTTTATAGTGGAAGATATAACAAACGGCTTTGTTTCAATAAAAGATTTTTTCACTCTTTTGTCTTTTAGATAAAGTCTCTAACCTTTGCTACTAAACTTTTAATAAAATGACAGATTAAAGAGTCTTTACTTGTCCAACCTTCATGCACTGCCATCTGTCCTATTCCCATTGCCCCTATCTCAAAACCATACAAGAATGTTGGATTTGTACTGTCTTGTAAACACTTCTTTTCATATTAGTTGAAATTATTTTGTCATTTAACACAAAGGACTTTTTTCTCCATTCCATCCACATCACTCTACATCAATCTGAACTTCTACTTCGTGTAACCACATTACTCACTCCTCTACATTCTAGAGTTTGATTCATCTTCTCCGTTGTATGGAAACGTTTGGCCCACGGTTAATTTACAATAACCCAAACCATAAAAACAGATAGTGTTTGTAAGAAAATTTCTAAAAATGAGCACTTTCCTAACTCAAGCCAAGACTTCGTCATTCATGATGATAAACAAGTAGAGATTCCCCTTGTCTTCCTTCAGTGTATTGATACATCTCCTATTGTTTGTTTTTCTCTACGCTTCTTACAATGTACATAACTGATAACTGCCTTCACCCTATCTGTTGTAATATTGTTTTGCTGGTATTCTTCTTGTGCCACTATCTCCGGTACTTTATGACCAGCGGTATTCACTCCTATGTTTATCCGCCATATTATTGTTTTTGTCATTTAAGTTGTGTTTTAAAGTTAAATAAAACCTAACGAATGGTAATTTACAAAATTTATTTACCTTTATTTAAATCCTTCAATATGGAAACGATATTGAAACCGCAACGTCTCGACTTGGACCCAAATTCGCCGTCAGCCGCGAAAGAGTGGAAACATTGGCTCCAAACGTTCAACAACTTCATTCAAAAATGCGGCGATAAAGCCCCAAACAAACACCGTACTCTCATCAATTGTCTCTCACAACGTTTACGATTACATCGAAGATTGTCAGGACTTCGACTCGTTTATTGAAGCACTAAATAATCTGTATAGCAAGCCTCCGAATGAAATATTTGCACGTCATCTACTTGCTACAAGGCGCCAAAAGCCTGGTGAGTCGCTTACAGAGCTCTTACAGGAACTTAAAAAGTTAAGCAAGGATTGTAAGGACCTGGAATTTATCAAACAAGAAATTAACCACCCACTCGTAGAAGGCATAAACGAACCTAGCACCTCGCCATGGAGGGCTCAAGTCGTGGTATCAAAGGACCCACTACAACGACATAAGAAGTGGCTTTGCATTGATTATTCTCAAACCGTCAACCTCTACACGGAACTCGATGCATACCCGCTACCCCGTATCGACAACATGGTCAACAACCTAGCTTCATATAGAGTCTTCTCAACGTTCGACTTAAGGAGTGCCTATCACCAGGTACCGATCAAGAAAGCCGACCGAAAATTTACCGGTTTCGAGGCCAATGGTAAGCTTTACCAGTTCTGTCGCATCCCCTTTGGAGTAACCAACGGCGTCGCAGTTTTCAAAAGAGCGATGGACAAGTTCGTAGAAGAGGAGGGCCTGAAAGATACATTTCCTTACCTCGATAATATAACTGTTGCAGGCTACGATCAGCACGGGCACGACGAAAATGTGAGGAAATTCAGAGAGGCTGTAAAGCGCCGAAACCTCACTTTGAATGAAAACAAGACAGTAGAGTCCAAGTCTTCCATCAATCTACTTGGTTACTGTATAGGGAATGGTGTCATCGCCCCAGACCAAGAAAGGCTTCGTCCACTTAAAAGCTTCCCTCCTCCCGAAAATTCCAAATCCTTGAAAAGAGTTATCGGCATGTTTGCATACTACGCAAAATGGATACCAAACTATTCTGACAAAGTACATCCGCTACTACAAGCAACCTGATTTCCACTTAATGGCGATGCCCTGAATGCATTCACAATGCTGAAGGACGAGCTGCGGAAAGCGTCATTACACTCTATTGACGAAAGCCTCCCCTTCGTTGCAGAGACTGATGCTTCAGAAACTGCCCTGTCTGCTACACTAAATCAAGGAGGCAGACCTGTAGCGTTTATGTCCAAGACCCTCCAAGGGAGTGAGCCCCACTGCGGTAGAGAAGGAAGCAATGGCCATAATTGAAGCTGTCAGGAAGTGGCAACATTTTCTTGCAGGCAGACATTTTACACTCAAAACCGATTAGCAGTCAGTCGCCTTCATGTTTGACAACCGAAGACGCACCAAAGTAAAGAACAATAAAATCCAGGACTGGAGGCTAGAACTAGCTTCTTTTAGCTACACCATAAAATACCGGCCCGGTAAGGATAACGCTGCTACCGACTCATTTACCCGGGCTTTCACAGCTTCCATACCTGCAGCTAGCCTTACTGAGATACACGTTGCTCTATGCCACCCAGGTGTCACCCGATTGTTACATTTCATAAGGTCGAAAAACCTCCCTTACTCTACAGAAGAAGTTAAGAGGGTGTGTTCTAGTTGTAGGGTCTGTGCTGAGCTCAAGCCCCAATTTTACAAACAGCAGCAAGGAGTCCTCATCAAGGCTACCCGACCTATGGAGCGACTCAGCGTGGACTTTAAAGGTCCACTACCTACGACTACTAATAATCCCTATATGCTAACAGTCGTGGATGAATATTCACGCTTCCCTTTTGCTTTCGCCTTCCCAAACATGAGTTCATCAACCGTTATCAGATGCCTGGATCAGTTATTCACTCTGTGTGGGACGCCAGGTTTCATCCATTCAGACCGAGGTGCCTCATTCATGTCCCAGGAACTTAAAGAATACCTCTCTCAGAGAGGCATCGCCACGAGCCGAACTACATCCTACCACCCGATAGGCAATGGCCAAGTATAACGCTATAACGGTATACTGTGGAAAGCCATTCGCTTATCTCTCAAGTCAGCAAGCCTGCCGGACAGTAAATGGGAAATGGTACTCCCTGATGCGCTTCATTCAGCAAGGTCTCTCCTCTCCACTGCCACCAACTCAACTCCACACGAGACATTTTTTGGCTTCCAACACCGTTCAACACATGGTACTTCACTTCCCACCTGGTTACAGTCCCCCGGACCGGTTCTGCTCCACCGATATGTGAGAGCAAGCAAGAATGACCCACTTGTTGACCAGGTAGAGTGGAAGCTAACCCTACTTATGCCCATATTAAATATTTGGACGGCAGAGAATCAACGGTATTACTGAGAGATCTGGCACCATGGCCCCCATCTCACAATCACACCATCCCTGCCACCGTGCCGCCTATTGCAGCGGGAAAGTACCAGGCACATGTTCCGGCTGAGCATCAAGCAGTTGAGAAGGAGAGTATTTCAACTGAATTGGGACAGCCACATGCCCCTCTGAGGCGCTCAGTGCGTGCCGTAAAACCACCAACCCGTTATGGTTTTGAAGACGAATAGACTCTAAACTTTGAACTCATAAGTGTTATCTTCACTTCTGTTTAAGGGAGGGAGAATGTTGTAACATTGTTTTGCTGGTATTGGTCTCCCTGTGCTACTATCTGCAGTACTTTATGACCAGCGGTATTCACTCCTATGTTTATCCGCCATATTATTGTTTGTGTCATTTAAGCTGTGTTTTAAAGTTAAATAAAACCTAACGAATTGTAATTTTTCAACACTATCTACGTAGGCCCTGTTTACATGAGACCTAACGAAGTTAAACCGAAATGAAAATCAGAATTTGTTGCATGTTTACATGGGACCTGTGCGAAATCACGAAAAATCCTCATCCGCGTAATGCCTCCATGGCAGGCTAATTTTACGCTTGCTAGCTATTTTTCTTTTGTAATTTGCTTTTGTGCGCATGCGTTGATGCCATTTCAGACCGGTCTGAACATTAATTTGAGTTTACTTTGATGCTGATTTCAATTCATACCGTTCTGAACTTAGTGGGATCAGTTCAGCGAGCGGTACGACTTCAGACGGCTCCGAGTCATTTTCGTAACGTTCCCATGTAAACATCTACTATAAATAATATTATAACCGACACGAGCTGGTACCGCGGTTTGACTTCGTTCCGGTCTCATTTAGACAGGGCCATACTCTACTCTATGTCTACCTCTTATTCATGAAACGTGCTCTTCCTGTGTCTTTTTCATTTGCATACATACATGCATTCTGTGAATAATATTCATTCCTTATTTCTATGGAGCAATGTCAACAACATTTACGACAATCTTGCTGCAAATTACAACTAAATTCTACTTAGAAAACACGAGTAATACTTTGCATGTCGCGTGGTACCTAGAAATTGTGAACATTGCGTACATAGTAACAGCCACATTGTAGTGAATATACAGTAGAGCCAATCCATTATTTTTTTGTGCAACGCATATCTTATTACGCATGTGATTACCATAGTGGCAGCCAGTCAATTGCTTTTTTTGACCAATAGGAAAGATAAAATGGCTAACAGCAGCCAATAATCTATTTAATTATACAATAGCAAGTTGCACACAATATGGACCTACTGTATATTCCCTATACTGTTCACAGCTCTATCATATATTTTCATACGGCAATGACTGTTTTGACTTTAGAAATTTCGGAGTATTGATGTGTTCTTTGGGCAGTTTAGTCACAAAACTATCTTTTTAAGTCGCTTAGAAATAACAGTCAATAGGTAAATAATAAAAGTTGCTTCTAGTTAATGATCTTGGGTCACATAAAAAAAATTGGGTTAGCTATGTGACGGCGTAGCTAATTTAAACATTCAATCAGACATAAAGTTAAATATGGTGCAAAATTTCACTTTATTGTGCACGAACCTTTAAAAAATATGCTTTGTTACCAGTTTCATTATTTTGCATCAATTTTGTATGGCGAGAATTGTTGTTAGAAACACACAAAGCCCATAACGTTTAAACGATCGTTTCTATCCACACTATTCAGTATTCACATTTTCGAAATTAGATTATGATTGACTATAGAAGCTAGCAACTATATAACTAACAGAACCACTGCCATTTATAACAAAATTAAAAAAGATATTTGTATTATAAAATTGCCAAAAGAATACCTGAAATTTTTCTAGCAAAAACAGTCCACGCTATATAAGAATATATGATAGAGCTGTGACAATGTACGCAATGTTTACAGTTTGTACCACGTGACGTACGAAAATATAAGTAGCGAAAGTGGTGAATTCCAATCAAACCCATAAAACCATGTAATATCGAGATCAAAAATACACTTTGAGTTATTTCTTGATTTTAATTAGTGGATTGCAGTGCAGTTTATCTGTAATCATAAAATAACAGATAGGATTTTTAGATTTGTCTATATGTAAATAATACTACTCATCGATCAATTTGTGATAAAGCTGAGACGACACACAGAAAATTGTAGTTTTGTACATTAATTTTCGGAGCAGAGTCGAGACCAAGTAATTGTTAAGTGTCAGTCGTCTGAATTAAGAATAAAGTTGTTCGAAAGCAATTAGATTCAAAACTAGAGGATGTTTAACAAAACGATAGATGCAATGGAAGCTACCGACTTTCAAGACAAAACAATTAAAACGCCTTTTATTTATATCACATTCTCATTCAATGTAAACAATTTATTCTACGTACCTTCCTATACTTTATCATATTTCGTAACACTAATCATTTCGTACTGAAGATGGCATTTCGTTAATGTAGAAACATGTTTGCTTTTAAAAAATCATCGTTTTTTTAAATATTTTTTAAACTTTCTGCTACTCAGAAACTATGGTAAAAGTTTCATACTTATGCCATTGCATGCATTTCGTAAAAAAAAACAGTTTAAAATTCGATATTTCATTATTGACATTATTTATCTGACCTCTGTTGTGATGTATGCTCATTGCTCCACGTCATTTTAAAATTTGAAAACTATGCGTAAAATGTATACAATTTGAAACAAAACGTCTTTCTAGTGTGGAAACATTGCTTCTATAGCAAGCAACAAATACAAATACTTTATTTTTCAAATTATGCATTTTTTAGTTCGAATGTTTAAAAGCCATTCGTCATATAGCCATATTTATTTCTCATAAAATGCAGAATATATGACTTCCTCGCACACAAGTGTAAAATTTCAACAGTAAATGATGTCATGTTTCTCTTTCTGTTGCTTTGCCATAAATCATCTCGAGAAAATAGGCAACAACACATCAAACCATAAAGGTTCCACTTGTCCTCTTTTAGTGGATCTCCTTGGTTTTCCTCTGTACACATCACTCACTGACACCTCCCTCTGCCCTCTACTAACATACTCTACTTTACCTTCACATATAAATCGGTATGTTGTGTTTTGTCATACCACTTGGACACTCGTCATTTTGCTTACTTTGAATAGTTTACCCGATGTTTGCATTCAATTACTTATGATTTGTGAGTAACAAGGCATGAGTTTTACTTGCCGTCAATATTAGGGCTGCGACGCTTACTACTGGCTTCACTTGTTTCTTCATAAAGTCTTGAAGAAGACGCTTCCATTTCATGCAAGATCTGTCAAATCAAAAAATGGTTAATGAAGCAAAAATAAATATTAGAATATCACTAGTCAAGCGTCAAATTAAGACCTTGTGAAAATTTTTGCGGCTTATGCATTATAGTAAAAAGCCGTTTCACTTGAATCACATTCAATGATTTGTTAGATAAAAATGAGCATGCACCACTCTTATTGACCTTCAAAATCAGGTTTTTCACTATCTATATATCATTTTCGTCACTGTTTATCCCCAGTTTCAACTGCAATTCTTTGAAGGACATAAAGTCAGTATATTTAGGGATGGGTTAAACAAAAACAATTAAATGCATAAGAGTTGCTCCAATTTCCCAATGTACAATGAATTTCGATAGTAAATGTGCATTTTGGACGAAAAGGAGAGCAAACAAAAAATAATGAATTAAAATTTACTCATTTATCCAAACATATCTGATGCGATAAGAAGCAAGCTGACCTGAAGTTAATAAAAAGTTCTGCTTATTGCGAGCTTTGTATAAAACCTTGTACGTATGATTTGAGCGTATTAAAGTTAAAAGTTTTGAGAAAATATTTCTATTGTCTAAATTATTCTTGTAGAAGTTATAAAGATTTGTTAGCATCAAGTTTAATGTTTGGTTGTATCTTTTAGGTATATTTAACTACAAGCTGTTTCTGGTAATCAGAATTGACTCGTAAGGTGGCAAAAGTTAAGTTTATTAAAATCACAAGTCAAAACGAGTCAACACCCAGAATACAAAAACGTTAATTGCTGTAATTGAATTGAATAATTAGTTTATAATTAGTTAATCGGTATAATTTTAAATAGAAGAGCCTCAAACATAGCAGAATTATATTAGAATTTCTGCGGTATAAAACCATGTGGTCCAAAAGCTCTGTTTTTACAAATCAGAAATCAAAGTTTTTCAGTTTTTTTTATTTAATGCTATGAATTCGCATGTATCACCTTAGCGTTAACAGCTCGACGAAAGATAATTGCAACGTCACAAAACGACTAAATGTTTACAAAAAAGGACTAAATATTTAAAATATTCAACGATGGCATGCATGAGTCCATTTGCAATTTCAAACTAAATTTCCTTCCTGATTCATAAATGTCATTTCATACTATCACAAGTATAATGAAATAAAACATATTTTATAAATATACTGTCCGGACCCAAAGATAAATATAATTACATGCTAGCAAGCAATTTGAATCCTTAGCAAGCAAGCACATCACGATAAACACGCCTTCCTTCAGATGACAGTGATTTTTTGGTAAGCAAATTGTTTGTATTTGCAACTTTGTTTAATTGGTATACAACAACAGGATCATAAGTTGCTACGGGTACCTATGACGTGTATTTTATAGTACTAGGTTGAGACTAATATCTATTAAAATTGTATTAATTATATTTGACGAACAACTTTTATTTAAGATCTCATTTAACATCGTTAACACACACAATAATTCTTTGTCTTTTGTCTTACAAACCTTTTACTGGTCGACGGTTGAAGCTTTGAACATTCGATATTTCAGATTTCTTGACGTTCTGATAAGTTAAGCGTCAAATGGCTTCGTCCTTTGAGTTGATACGTGGCAAATTATTTTGGACAACTGAATTTAAAACATTAAAAGATAATTGTTATGTAAAGCAAAGATGCGGCCTTATGACTTTTGTTGTTTTTCTTTATAAGTTTGAATTTAAGTTGGATCGAATTCATCAATGAGAAGTGAGAAATGAGAAGTGTAAATTATATTACATTATACCATTTTCAAGGTACTTTGGGAGCGATTGGTAAGAAACTACAGCTCGATATGTCACTTTTATTTTTATACTAGTGGTACTCTTGCCTGTTGAATAACACAATATCATTGCACATATATATGTCATGAACGTCTAAATTGTGCTTGTTGAAATCTTTAGTATAAATGGTTTATTGATAAACATTTAAAAAAGCTACATTTCCAAAATAATAACGTTGGTAAAAGGCAAACACTACTTTTTACAAACATAAATTAAATTATAATTAAACACATCAAGATAAACACGCCATATTTTAGATGAATGGCAGTGATTTTTTTGGTAAGCAGTTAATATGTTTTTATTTGTAACTTGGTTTGATTTGTTAACACACACAATAATTCTTTATCTTTAGTCTTACAAACCTTTTACTAGTTGTAGGCTCAAAACTTTGAACATTCGATCCTTCAAATCACTTAACGTTCTCAAAAGTTAAGCGTCAAATGGTTGCGTCCTTTGAGTTGATACGTGACCAATTATTTTGTGCAACTGAATTTAAAACATTAAAAGTTTATTGTTATGTAAAGCAAAGATACGGCTTAATGATTTTTATTGTTTTAATTAACATGTTTGAATTTTATTACCGTTTCCTTGGTATTTTGGGAATTTGTTAAAAAAACCTTAGCTCCATAATTATGAGTTCGTCTTATACATGAAAATTTACAATATCAAATTGAGGAACTTTTGTTTCATTTGCTTGTTTAAGTTGAATAAGACAAAATAGGCGTTCGTTGGCTTAAATGTTGGGAAAAGTAAATCTCACGCCTTGATAAGATAACAATACATAATATTCTGATAAATTAAATGAAGGAAAGCTGATATAGAATTCTTATTGTAGAAACTATAAAGATTTGTTAAGATCATGTCCGATGTTTGTTGTATCATTTAGGTATATTTCAAGCTGTTTCTGGTAATCAGAATTGATCCGTAAGATCGCAAAAGTTAAGTCTATTAAAAGCACAATTCAAAACGACTTCACACCAAGAATATAAAAATATCCATTTCTGTAATTGAATTAACTAATTAGTTTATAACTAGTTGATTGGCATAATTTTAACCCAAAAAACCTCGAACGTGGTCGAACTAAATTAGTCAAGAACTGTAAACTGAATAAATTTTTTTATATATAGACATATACAACACATCCATGTGGTCCAAAAAAGCTTTGTTTTTATAAACAATGTTGTACTCAGATATCTCAAGATTACAAGTATCATGTAAGTTATGTTTCTGCGATAAACACTACATCGGGTTTCTTGCTTGGCAGCGAAATGGCGAATTATTTTGAGCTTTTGTTTTTAAATGTGAAGCCTATTTATATATGCAAAATGCACTTCCGGTTACCCACTAGAGATACAAACTACTATAAAAATGTATGTCGGATAACGTTTACAAACAAGGATTTTCGAATATTTAAGATATTTGGCGACGTTTTACTTATCTCAAATATCTGTCATGGATAATTAAAGTTATTTAAATCAATTTGACATCAAAATTATTTCGATACCTGTAAAATATCGGCGTTCGTGTTCATTTGAAGATCGCTCGTGCAAGAATCGAATTTGCCTCATAGTGGCCAAGGCAAGATAATTCACAGCTCGCTTTCCAAGTTTAGAGGCAGTTATGATCTAGAATATGTTTCAATGCTTAAAATTGTGGTGAGTACCTTTATTTTATCATTCTTTATAATCTAGAGATTGTCGTATGTTACTTTTGCCGTGACTTTATGAGTCCGGGTATATTGGTGTAGGAACAAACAAATTTACTAAGCTTGGTTTATTCTTAGTTTTAATTTCTATTTTTATTTTATAAAGATAATATTATCACTACACCTTGTTACAGCATTTGGATATGGTATTCATCAGTACGTATGGTTGTTATTGTCATAACATGCAGGGGCGGATCTAGGGTATGTCAAATCAGTCAGGCGACTGATGTTTATAGTTCAAAAATTACTTATCAAATTTAATGATTACAATTTTTTGTGATCATTGAATTCCCGATGTATAATCGTATGAATTTTATTGTTAAAATTCTGTTTTATATCTAAAATCTTACGTAAATATCACGTTTTAGCATATCTGGAATTATATTAACTGACTGATAAGCGGTGATGATTAATATTTTTTAACATGAGGTTATGTGATTATGTGATTTACAAAATGTTTTTGATTAAGAATCACGTAGCCTTAAACCTTAAAATAGTTGTAGTTTCTATTGCAAATCACAGCAGTTTTTAAACAGTGATATAATTTTACAAAGAGGTAATTGAATGTTTATTCATAACAATGCATGGTTGCTTTATAATACTAGTAAGTATCCTTTGTCCAATTATTGCATTCAAGACAATATGTAGTTTACAACCCACTTTTTTATCTCTTAGATTGGTTTATTAACTTCGCCTATTTCTTTAGTAAGCTTGCAATGTCAGTTAAATTATTTTTATTTAGTTGCTAAGAGCATTTTCCATTTGCTGCTGTTAGCAAGTAAACTATAATGTTATACTTAAAATTTTAGGGTTATGTATAAATTAGGTATGATACATGCATGTAAAGATGAGAATATGTTACAAATGGTTGAGGAGACATATATGTTCCTATGACCTGAGAATGAGAATGATCATTTTTTGATTAAAACATTTTGCTAAATGTTGTGATCACCAGCACTTAATTAGGCGGAATAGGTTGTAACATTAGGATATGTTTAAATCAATCAAAAATAAATAGAGTGACAGTTCCATTTTATTGTTTAGTATAGTTCATATCATAATGAAACGTGACCAGGTGCAATACAGAAAAAACTGGATTGCTGCTAATAAAGCTTTAAGATGCAGTGATGCAATTCCTAATGATGATGGCTGTAGTAATCTGTTCAATAATGTTTTCGATAATGACCGTGGACTTTCACAACCTTTACAAAAATCAACTAGAACCATTGCCAGTCCTAAACAAAGTTCTTTCTATTTGAAAGTTGGTCTTGATGATTGTGATATTGGGGAAAATGTCCGTGCTGTTTCTGGTGAAGTTGATATTTTAGATGTTTCTTTTTGCCATGGAAAAGCAGATTCTTTGGTAAATGTGAATGCAGACATTGGGGAGATGCATTGTTCTGTTTCTTCTGATTTTGAAGATGATAGTTTAAAAGTTTCTTTTCAAGATGGGTTAATTGATTGGGTGAATGAGTACTCAATTAAGCAAAATGCTGTTGATGTTTTGCTTGATCTTAATAAGGATAATGGTCATCCAAATTTGCCTAGTTGTGCTTGCACTTTGTTGCATACATCATGATGTATTCCCATTCAGAAAAATTCTGGCATGGATTACGTGTACTTTTCTTTTGCTGAACAATTGTTAAAGCACTTTCACAAGCATCCTTGTGAAACAGTTAAGAACATTAATCATCATGAAAATTTAAATGTTTTGGTTTATCGTTTGCATTATATGGCTTTTGTATGTTCTACAGGTGCTGTAAGCGTTTTCCTAAAATGTTGTTGTAATTAGTTGAAAAAATGTTAGTTTTAGTTAAAATTAGTTGTATTTGACGATTTAATTAAAATACATCCGTTCAAATCTAATTCTCAGCGTTTGCTATCAAACTACTAAATGAAACTTTCTCGAGGTTTTTTATTTTAGTCACCTTTCTCTTTCTGACTTTTTAAATTTGTAGTGCCTTAATTTAAATGACGTTCGTGCGTCCAATAAAGATATATGTCAAACCCAGTACGTGTCTTCTCTGTAGATACAAGCAACGTCTCTTCACAAGGAATTCCTACAACTGGCTCAACAAGAGAAAGACATTCTCAACAAAACAGTGGTGTCTTTGGCAAGCTTTTCTTACAATTCATTATTGCATGTCTTGTTTTTACGTTTTCATTTACGTTCATTTCGTGTCGTTTGAAATGTTTGTTTTTCTTCACAACTAACTGCAACACGTGATTGCTTTGCAGATGCGCATGACCTTTCATCGCACGAAACGCCTTCGACAAGTTTTATAAACATAACACCTGCAGGAAGACGTTCTCAACCAAACATTAATGGTACCTTTTCTACAGTAAATAGTTTTTGAATAGCGTTGTTATTATGTATGTGTATTCAATTAGCAATTTGATGCGAGTTTTATTTGAATTTACTTGTTAGCATGTTGTAAGGCTTATATTTTTAATATATTACTTAGGTTGTACATAAGTTTTTTTATTATTTTCTTATCTATCTTGTAGTCTTCCAAAGATCAGTTCTCACCAAACTGGAAACATTAATTGATAAGCAAGAAGAAACGTTGTCAATATTGCGTGCTCTGTTAAGCGTTACGAAAGGTGTAGACGAGCACGAAATTTTGGAAGATGTTGTACCTAATCCCTTAGATTCAGTTGAAGAACTTGAGGAGCTATCCTCTGGTCTTGATGAAGAAAAGTCCAGAAGAAAGTTGGTAAGTTTTTAAAGTTAACCACCCATACGTATTCAGTAATATTTATTGCCACCGCCTATATTTTCTGCATGACTCTTTCAAGTGTTACGTAAAAATATGTGACAAAGGAAGGCATAGCTCTTCCCCTTTATCGGTTTGGAAACGTGAAAATGATTGTGTCATTTGCAATTACGTAACATAATATTGACTTTTTTTCTACCATTTGTGTTTGAAGCTTGAAAACATGCACGTTTGTCAAAGTCTGAAACGTAATTTTAATGACGATTTTCGTGACGTTAGGGGGTCAGATTATCTGATTGAACTATACGAATCTAGCATCGTGTTTTTCTTGAGAGCATTGTCGTGTTCTGATTGATTCAAATACGTTACGATACATTACTTTACGTTGTTTCTCGTGCGTATGAGATGACGTTGTAGCGCGAGATAATTTCTTATATCCGACGTACGTACGTAGTGGCATTCGTATAAGTGGATTTATTCGATTGCTTTTAAGTGAATAAAACTAAAAAATTCTTTGATCCTTATGTTTATATAAATTAAATTACGAAAATATACATACAGCAGACGATTCAGTTTTCCATTTAAATGGCATCTTTTATAGACAAATATGTCAATGTTGTTGTAAGTGGTAAGACATATAAAAATGATATATAGACTACCATTTTCTCATAATCATATATGTTATTTTCTTGCAGGTCTGAAAAGGCAACTTATTGGAATCGACTTAATTAGCAGGTTTTTGTAAATATGTATTTTAAAACACGCACAGCAAAATAGATGAATTAAAATTTGATTATATGGAAATTAGACTTTAGTTCGTAGCATTGGAAAGGCTGTTTTATGATTTCACAAATAATGCATCTTTAAATGTATGTTGTATGAACGTCGGATAAACGTTGTATGAACGTTGTATAAACGTCGGGTTTAGGTTGAAAATACGTTGCATCCCAACGTTCATCCTAACGTCGCCACCACGTTCCTGCGAGTTCCCAAAAAAACGTTCACTCAACGTTGGTCGCCGACGTTGAGAGAACGCTCGACAAACGTTGTACCAACGTTGAGATATCGTGATTTTGCTAGCTGAGAAGTCCTCCGAACAATGATCAAGGATGGGACAGTATATACTTTAATGACGTTAGAAACACAATACTTCTTTCGTCCATCAATCCGTCTACAATCACATACTACAATCGCAAATAGACCATGTTGCTCTTAAGCAATGCTTCCATCAGCTCAACTTTTATGTCCATAAACAAGTCCCTGTCCTATTGGAATATAACCAAGGTTATTGGACTATTGGACTGAGGCAGCTTAAAACGTTACTATCCTGGGTATTATATCTAACTAAGATACGATTCCCACTGGTTAATCCGCCAATCTTAAAGACATGCGAACTATAAACGACGATATATCAATAATATTATGGTAAGAATAATATTCTTATTAAACTATTCACAACAGCAAAAAATCCCACAAATCGTTAAAGTCTTAATCAATTGTTTAAGTAAACTGAATGAGTAATTTAACATAGTTTTTCTTATGCAGATGAATAAAACCACGCCACCATCGACCAGCCAAATTTCTACATTAATTAATTAGAAAATTCTCCTAATAAAAACATGGAATTTTTTCAGCATGCAAAACAAAAGTAAAAATCTTAGTTTTCTGACTATCTGTAGATGTTTCCGTTTTCATGCCGTAGACGACATACACAGGTGCAAGAAATGGCCAATCTTGCCTCTGTGCTTGCCGTCGTCGACACGAAACGGAGAGTAGATAAGATGCAGCTTTGTCACACTTTTGTCACGGAGCTCTTACCCGTGCCAGTTAGTTTCCAGTCCCCTGAAGTTGATCGGTGCGCGCGCATGTCAACCGGAAATAGGGTTTAATAAACATGGCATGGCATTGGATGGCGTGAAAATCGGAAATACGACAAAGCTGGAAGTTGCATGCTGTTGACAAAGTAACATTAGATCCGTTTCCTTTTCTCAATCGAAGGTAAAAACGGTAGAAAACGAGGTAATTGCATTTTATAGCTTATACTTTATCGAAAGGTTTACATTTTATCTCTTGAAACAAATGGAATTGAATGTAGACATTGATCTGGCATTAAGAATGAACAAATTGCTTTTGGAGTCAGAAAAGAATGAAATAACTGTACGTCAAAGTTTGTTAGAAAATAAACTTTTAGACTGCTATGCTGAAGAAATTGCTGCAATGATAAACGCTGAAGTAAATAAGAACTGCAATGGATGCATGATTGATCACCCCTCTCAACGCGAGCATGACTGTCTCATGATGGAGCATGACGAGCGTATGTTGTTGCATTTTGATGATGCCTTGGAAAATGTGTCCGAAGAGATTGTGATCAAAGATTTTATGAAAAGAATTGAAGATGTCAAGCCACCCGTTAATGGACTTGAGATACTAAAATACACTTGTAACGACTGGCGTAAAATATTTGTTTCGGATAAAAAGAACAAACTTGAAACACAAGTCGTTAAGCTTTTGTAAAAATATGTTTTTATTTATTTCCGTTCGATTCGTAAGGTCAAACCATTACACATTGTTCTAAAAGAAATATAAGAAACATGTATGAATTTACTGTTTACATGTTAGCACTTCTGTATACATGTATGTAAGCGATGTAATATTACATAGAAAAAACATTTTACGACAACTACAAACGAATTAAAACTTACTCGATAAGGTCTTTTATTAGACGATCCGTCTCTGAATCCGTAATTCTATAATAACAAAAAAAGTTAAATGACTTTAATTGTAATGAATTAATTTTACTTTGAAAAAAAAAATCTTTATAGATGTACATACCCACAAACGAGACATTCAAACTGAATGTCAATCTTGTTGAACATATTTTCGATCACAGTGGCAAAATGGCTTACATGCCCACACGAGGGCTTAACAAGGTAATCATCACAGTGATCACATTTTTCTAAAAAATAAAATCGACGTCTCTGTTAAAGTTAATACAAACACCCCAAGGAACAGAAAAAAGACAAACGGTACTTACTGAAGGTATAAAACGACGCTTATGGCGAGGCCATCCTTCTTCGATTGCATGTTTGGATATTGCATCTTCACAAAGGCTCTCTGTTTCGTAAGTGGTTGAGATACACTACACATGCGCTTGAGATGTGACCTTCGTTGCCATCTCGCAAATGTAAATTATAAATTACCATTGAATAGTATGACCTTGAATAATGTGGCGTGGGTAAGATCTGTGCAGTATCCTAGCTTTTAATTCTGTCCTTCTTAGATTTACAAACATTGTTTTTATTTTAGTATGCGTTTGTTTTACTGGTTGCTAGAGATTGTATTAGGAGAATTTAAACGAAGAAGTTAGGGCAATCAACTGATAAAAGTGCAACGCGCGTTTGATATTGATATTGCAGTAATTGATACCACAACAATTGTTATGCGATGTGGCACAACAATTTTAGTTGTTTCAAGCTTACAATAACCGGTTTACTGCTGAAAGTCGCGTATATAGGTAGAAGTGTGTCGTAAGCGTAATATTATTCGAGCTATTTCATGCATCATCACTTTAGGGAATTTCCCTTTTCATCTTATGAAGGCGCAAAATATTTCAAAAACATCGAGCTTCGCGCAGTATGTATAGCTCTAAGAGGCTTTCTTGGCATGTTTCCATTAAACAGATAGAGATAGAAACAATAGCAGAGGATTTTTGCAGCTATGCAATATTAAAGTAATTTTCACACTAAACTGAAAATCAAAAGATTTTATTGAACAACGTCACTTCAAAATAAGATACAAGTTATTATGAAACGAATTCATCTAACAAAGTTAATCTTCTTCATCATTGGCAATCTCACCAAAGCTGTACTCTTTTAAAAGTCTGTTGATGAGAAACTTTCTCTTATCAACAGCTGCTTCCATAGCTTCCTGTGGATCAAAGTC